CATCGTTACTGCAGTTCAGCTTGTCAGGTATATAACTGTTCAAATCAGAGGTTGCCAGTCTGAGCAATCTCCATATTGCTACGGGATTTTCAAAACACTTCGGAGCAAGCTGTCGCATTTCAGTACTTGTGTGCATAAAGTGTTCTGTTAAGCGAGCTATTGACTGTGATTTGGTTGGACACAGGTTGCTGACTGGAAACTGGAGCACAAACTGGAGTGCACACTGCTGAAGGAGATGGGTCGTAATGACCCGGGGACTGGTGATCCAACGGGCTCCGTGATGTACGACAGTTGGCTCTCATCTGATTTGGCCAGAAAGTTGGTCAATAAAATGAAGGTAAGAATCCTGCCCTTATCACAAATCCGAAATGGTTTCACGCTGTGACATGGGCACACTCAGTTTCGGTACTTGTATAGAACAACGTTTAATATGAAATTTAAGATATTTGATACTCGGTATTGTAGTAAATAATACACCGCAACGTCGGCAATGATCGAATTTGTGGCGCCCCCGCAATGCACATGCCCCTTCATGTTTGACAAATAAGAAAACCCCCCGAAACTGCCGCCCAAGGTGCTGCCCAGCGCATTAAACTAATAGTTAAACCAGAAATTGGCAAATTGCTTCAGGATTTGTTAATAATTTAATATTCACTTCCGATTTAATAAAACAGCTGAATACTGACAGCGAAAATACGAGTATTAACACACGTTGTATGGCCGCATGTTCGAGCACAGTAGAATCTGTGATAAGACAAGGAAAACGATTCAGCTGTATCAGTTAAGAACGCAGTTATTGCTCGCTTAAGCGCATAATTAAACTTTGAGGACAAAAAATCAAACGGTAGCAATAATTTGAAGCCGCGAAATTTATGGTTTGAACGTTAAAGGACACCCCCCCCCCTAATAAAGGCACCCTAAAGCAACGGCAGCTTCCCGAAATAAGCGCTGCTGCTTCGGGGTGTTCCAACTATTTGCCGGCCTGTGCCGCCTGTGGTTCGATAATTACGATAACATTATTATGATGTTGATCGGTGCCCGGCTGCCTGCAATCTTGTTGCGGTTCTTCAGAAAAACGCGATGATGGACATCCCGGGGATGGGTCCGCAGTCTGTCCGAGAACTTTTACTCTCGATGCCGACAAATCGACAGTCCACCGTAGACCCGATTTCCCTGACAGCCGGTGACTCCCGCTTGACCTTCCGGGCTTACTGTTGCATTTTGAGCTACAACGGTGTGCCAATTCTGGAGCCGCTCACGCCCCGTGTACCGATCGGCAGAGCCGTGTATCCACAAGCACCGATGGGCGGGATGACGCGGGTGTGCTGGGACATCAATGTGGTGATGAGCCGCCGTGGACGACAGCTGTTTGTCCATGCCGTGGATGACATTCCGCAGTTTACTGGACTTGCCGATGTAAGTCTCATCCCGTACTTCGTGTTCCGTATCTGCAGACATATATTAATCGGCTTGATTTTTGTTCATACAGATACTGTAAAGTGCATAGAGTATGCTACACGGTGCTTAGTATGTAAATAAAAAGGAGTGAACTATGTAAATACGGCATACGCCTTGTGTAACTAACGTGAAAATTAATAACACGATACAGTTGTTGTGAAAAATGATCGTGATTATGACCGTCATCCTTGGGAGGTTGCACCGCCGTAAAAACGAGCTGTTAGGAGTTCCTTTACCTTTTTTTGTCACTCTCGTATTATTTCCCATGTTTTTCCAGTTGCGCTCCGCCGGCATTGACAACCCATTCTGCATGACCAGAGCGGAACGTCGGGCTCAGTTCGTCAAGCGTCACGGTACTCCATGTACTTGCCGCAAATGCTCGGAAGTCTATGTACGTTATCACCATCCCTGAAAAGATGGTCAATTCATGATGGTCAATTTATGGTCAATTTATAAAGCGCAACTCCATCTGTGTGTGTTTGTAGGATGCCGATATCAACCCATTGAAATGTGTGACGGTCGGATGCAGTAATCGCATCCCCAGCGACAGCCGTGCACTGGAGTCTGGAATGTTGCGCTGAATGCGGCGCTCTGAACGGCGCACGTTTGACGCAGTTCCGTCGGTTCATGCAGCAGTACGCGGCCATGAAGAGCAGCGCGCCGCGGGAGTCGCACTCGGCCATGATCCTGCAGCTGTTCCAGCAGATGGAGACTGCCGACATCCTGCAGCCCGATGCGCATTTCCGTTTTATCTGCGGCTGGGACTTGGCGAAGATGTATTACATTGATGACCGCTTCGATGATGGCTGGAAGATGATGCAGGAATTTGTCAGCTGTGCGCGGTAAATTAGAAATGTCACACTTCATCCAATTTATCATAAACTACACAGTTATAAAATAATTTAATCGATTAAACTCAGAAAAATATATGTGAGGTGTTGTAATCTTCTTCAGGAAGGCTTGTCCAAAGTATACGATTTTTCGTGCTAACCTTCTGACGTCCGCTGCGTGGTGCACCGCACAAGCGCTGGAAAAGCGCGTCCTGAATGATGGCAGAAAGCTGTCGCGCCTGGCGAAATCGGAGCTGAAAATCCTGGCGGATCACGTGTGCTCTCTCGTGCTGGATTACCGTAACGAAGTGAGAGATATTTTTGCTTTATTGTACGGTAGACAGTCAAATGAAGCCAAGTGTTGCGAGATGGAGATGGAGGAGATCACTTCCTCAGTATGCCGCATTAAGCAGGCTTTTCGCGGCAGCAATTGATGAAGCCATGGTATTGTTTTGCTAAAGTCCTGTTGTTGTTTTGCTGCAGACTGCTGAGTCGTCCAGTCTGGCAGCGGCGTTTTTTTTCACTTTTTGCGAAGCTGTTGAATAATTTTTTAATAACCCTTTAATTGTCCTCAATTTTCATTATAAGGAAAGCTCAAATTTCATTATAATGTAGTGCAGTTTGTAAAACTTTCCGCGTGTCTTTGTGAGGATTGGATGGGATTTTGTTGCAGTCGTTACTGTACCCAGTATCTGTTTTTTTTACGGGAATAATTATAAATGTTGTTATTGTTATATTGGTTGAAGAAAAACGAGCAATTCCTTATGTTCGTTACAAGTTACTCGAATGTAGCGAGTGCACAGCACTGAACATTCAACGTTAAGTTCGTTAATCAGCGACGATTCATTTTCGTACAGACATTTTGCGGCGTAGTAAACAGATACTTGAAACGACTCTAGGAGAAATAACGACGATTATGTCCATACATTGAAAGTGCCGCAAATGATAATCTGCCTGGCCAAAGCGGATGCAATGGTCCGTGACACGTAAACACTTTCAGCAAACAAATCATTTTGCACTTTCAGCAGTTATACTGTATGTATGGGAACTGATGTGTTGTCCTGAATTGTATGTTTACTTCATAAGGTGATTTGTTAATATGTTGGATTGTTTTTGCTGGTCAAGCAGTACCGGAGTATCGGCCGAATGCAGCATTTTTATAGCAGAAGGTGCTAAACGAATATGGCAGACTTCACAAGTGATTCAGCGACAAAAGGTCAAAGCAGCGGTCACCCGCATCACGCGTTTCTGTTGCAGTTACGATACAACGAACTGCTACAGCCATCGCACCACACCAAAACGGAAGGTCGCCGGCAGTTCCAGAATAGACGCGGTTATCCGTGTACCTGCCGTAAATGCACGGAAGAATCTGTGTGTACCTTTAATCCTAATATCTACCGAGCAAACCGGATTTCCAAATCTGTGGTGTTCTTGGGATGGCGACGTTAATCCGTTGCGATGTGAGAGGAATACGAGAGCATTAAATGGCTTTCCTCGGGGCTCTTTCTATTGCGGTGAACATGGTCACGAATCTCGGCCAGCAACTGGAGACTGCCGGCATTCGGCAGCCCGATGCACATTTCCGTTTTATCTGCTGCTGAGTGTTACCGATAAAGTATTTCGATGAGAACCAACTCCGTACATTCACGGCAAAGTAACAAAGTTGTATTTCAAGCACTGCCTGAAAAATCGTTTCCGTACTATTAATGTGGCAAATAAAAATAATTGTCAATACATCTGTGATCACATACAGATATGTCCGCTATAAATGTTTGCAGGATCGTAGTCGGCATACATGTACTCGGTATTAATTGCAATGTAATGTCGCTTTTTGGCACTCTGTTTTCTTCCGCTAGATAGCGGATGTTCTTTTCGCAAATTTCCCCTGTGCCTGCGTGTACATGCTGTTGGAGATATCCAGCAGTTTATAGGACTGGAAGAAGTAAACCGCATTCACCAGCATGAAGTGCGCTTCTACATAATTACTCAGAAGGGAACTTCGTGGAAGAGTTTGCGTCAGTTTACTCTGTATGTAGTGCGCCCCATGGAAAGGCCCAAATCAACGTAAAGTGCAACTGACGAACGGAATCGAAGACTCGACGTCGCACCTATCTGTAAGCACACCACAAACCAAACGAAAAACTAATACCAGCTGCTAACTGATTCCAGATTGCTTTAGATTTGTCTAACTACTGCACAAAACTGCTTGCTGTCTGATGAAAAATGTACGAAATCAGTTGCGATCTTCCTACTTATTTTCTTTGTGATATCTTACGTTTCACTTGAGTGGCGCTACGCACACAGCGACAAGGAAAAACGACTTCATAGGCCGGCATGCTGAATTTCAGAGGCGTTACCGGCATCCGTGTACTTGTCGCATTTGTTGTTCGTTTGCAGCCAATGCAGCGTATGGCGGAAAAGACGGATTAAGTTCTCATCTCTTTCTTTTTGTAATTTTGCCAGATCATGAAAATTGAAGCCTCTACCGAAAAATTTAGCGGACATCGAAAAATAAACGCAGTAACTTGAAACATTACTGACTACTGAAACTGTTCTGCTCAATGGTGTAATTCCCGTCTTACGGCGTCCGCCCGCTTGCTGTCAGCTACTTGGACTGATCCATAATACAGTATTACTAGTACTTGATAGTTGATATTATGTACTGGGATTGATCGTATGACGGGACAGTTTTGAGTTTGGCATTTTGGGAACTATTTGCTTGTGCAGTAATTTGAACGTTGCTTCTCCCCAATAATTGCTTTTGGTGAAACCTTTAGACCTAGGGTAGAATGGAGACCCAAGACGCTGTGCCGAGCGTTAATAGACGTTTCTTCGTTCCCGGTGATATTGTAATGTCGTGTAGTCCTCTGGTGTGGGTCCTTGAGCGCAGTGCCTATAAAACCCACTGTGCCTATTGCTTTCGCGATAGCAAGCATTTACGCAAATGCTCGGGATGTTTGCTGCATTACTACTGTAACACCAGGTGCCAGGTAAGAAAAGATGAGAAAACCTAGTCCTTCACAATACATTTGGTTCACATCACAGACTCAAAGTCATCACTCTTCCACAACAGTCAGTAAAACCGCACTTGTGGGTTGGAAGAGTCTGTACTGGGTGTACTCGTTACCTTTTCCTTTTGTCACCTTATTGTGCACCCTAAGCTAGCGTTGGGGACCGGGACTAGCTATCTAGACTAGGACTGAAGACTTCTTTGCCCTCATATAGGTGTGGGCTTAAAACTTCTTTAAAGGGCCTTACTAACTGCATTAATTTGTGTGGCTGGTTTGATGCAGGCCGCTGACTGGAAAATGGAGCACAAGATGGAATGCGCCCTGCTGAAGGAGATTGGCAAAATGGAGAGCACGGGTACGAGCCGCATCATCTCTGCGGTGGCAGAAGGACTTACGGGTGAAACTTCGAACGGTTTTCCCGTGTCTAGTGGTACTCTCACTGATATGATCATCAAATTGGACTTCAAAATTAGGGTAAGACGAAACGGAAGTAAACTTTGCGCAAAAACTAAATCTCGCGCAGATTAACTGGTCTAATATAATCATATGATAGTGCCAGAACGTTAAGCATTTCTTTGGATTTTATCGCTGTGCTTATAATAATTATTCTGTTCTTAATTTTGTCAAATCGAAAATGTTCTGAAAATTTTTCCCAGCTAATTCTGTTTCTCCCTATACTTGGTCTGACACTCTCACTGAGCGGTGTAAAGTTACACTAACATTAAATAAATAAATTTTGTTTCTTTATTATTATTAAACTTTTAGTAAGGTACTAGAGGCAGGTATTGCAAATGCCTGCCTCTAGTACTTTACTAAAAACCGTATTTCTACTGTAACTATTATCCCTATTAGGATATTAATTTTCAGCTCCGATCGTGCTGTACTTTGCTCAGTTTGCTGTACTGTTACTGCTTTCTGGAATAGGGTTTCGTAATTTTTTCCAGATGAACGCATTGGCGAATAATCCAGAAATGGCTCCGAAATCTCTCCGCGATCTTCTGCTCATGTTGCCGGCAAATCCCGTGTCAGCGGAAGCTGAACGCGCGATCCAACTGAAGTATGCCACTTTTTTCCCGATGCCTGTGTCTGTGTGCAAATTTCCTCCCCGTTGTTTGTGTTCATAGATTCTCCGCCATGGAACCGGGAAGTTCCGTGCCGGTCATCGACTGCCTGAAGTACTATACTATCTTCAGCTGTAATGCATGGCCCCTGTACGCTGCGCTGACCGGTAACGGAAATCCCCCGATCGGTTTCGCGCTGTACCCACAAGCGCCACGGCGACAAATGACGCCGGTGTGTTGGGATGTCAATGTTGTGGTTAACCGTCGCGGACGACGATTATTCATACATGCGGTGGAAGATATTCCACAGTACACGGAACTTAAGGAGGTAAGTCGCATATTTTCGCTGGACGTAACGCTGCAGAGTAGATACACAGAAGATCTGTCGGACAGAAAGAGCAAGAGGTCACGTGACCAAAAATTAATCGTGAAGCCGATGCAGTTATGTTCACTACTGATGTTTGCAGTTGCGATACAGTGACGTACTGGAGCCATCTCGCCAAACAAAAGGAGAACGACGCGAGCAGTTCCAGATGCGTCACGGTTATCCGTGTACTTGCCGTCGATGCAAAGATGAATATGTATGAGTAGTGTGATTACTGTCAATTGATCCTGATGTCTGCTTCAACATGATCGGTCTATCCTTAGGATGCTGACATTAACTCGTTGCGATGTGTGACCAGTGGATGCACCAATCGGATTCCCAGCGATAGCCGTGCACTGGCGCCCTGCGCGCAATGCGGTGCCACTAACCGTGACCGTTTGGCGCAATTCCGTCATTTTGTGCAGGAGTTTGAAAGCATTAAATGGCGTCACGTGGAGTCCCTTGCCATAGCGATGAGCATGGTCACGAAGCTGGGACAGGATGTGGAGCTGGCCGGCATTTTGCAGCCGGATGCGCATTTCCGTTTTGTCTGCGGCTGGATGTTGCCGACCAAGTACTTCAATGAGGACCGCTTGGGTGATGGCTGGAAGATGATCCAGCAACTGACTGCCTGCATGCGGTAAATTTCCGACTTCACCCCTATATGGACTTTTCATTTATTACTTACAATAGAGTAAATTTAACTTCTAACTGTTTACGTAAGTGATTCTAATAACTGAAAGTTATTAGTATTTAGCCATGCTCCAGTTTGTTAATGTTGTTGATAATTAATATCATTAATTGAATATTATTTAGCTATACTCAAGTTTGATAATGTGTTGATAATTATTATGAATGTCATTAATTGTTACTAGTTATTATTATTAACATGTATCATCATTAATTTTCATCAATAATTGTTATCATTGTTTTAATTATTTGGTTAATTACAGATTTCCGTTGTCAGTTAACTATCGGATTATTTGCTAATAAATCAAACTACTTACATACTGTAACTGCTGAATTATTCGGATACTCTCAGTAAACCGAAATAACTGGTGAAGTGCCTTGGGGCTGGAAGTACTGAATTTCTGTGTTGTGTGCTGCCTCTAGAGTTTTTAAAAATTATTTCATTAAAAACAAATGCATATCTCTGTACCAAGTGTACAGTAACAACCGCGATCGTCGAAAGATAAAACTAGAGTTGTCTCTAGAAAGATGTATCCAAAGTATGATGTTTTCCGCGGTCTGCAACTGATGGGATACGCAATGGCTGCCACTACTGCGCTGTACGAGCGAGTGGTGAATGGGACAGGTCGGTTGTCGGGACCGGCGGCAAATGAAATGGTCACATTGGCTCCTGAAATATGTCGTGTTGTAATCGAATACTGCGAGGAGGCCAAAGAAATCTTTACTGTTTTGTTTGGGACGGAGTCCAAGGAGGTGCAGGAAGCCGATTCTACACTGGAGCGTGTGACTGTGATTATAGGCCCCATCGAGCGAGGTTTTCGCGGTAGTGAACCCAAAGCAATGTGAAATCTGATTTTTGGCTTCGAGTATTTGTTTAGTCTTTACTGTTATGAGCTTCGGTTTTTATATGCTTACATAACGGTCCTTATTTTACCTAATTGTCTCTTTCGGGATATGAAATTTATTTATTTTTTCATGCATAGTAGTGAATCAGATCGATAAACGATAATTGGTCGTACCTTTTGCAATGGGTTGCTAAACAAAATGTCGGTCTGTTGATCAAGTTGCGGTGTATCCGTTGAACACTTGGTTGACTTCACGTTAGCTTCATTCGAAAGTGTTGTTTATAGACTTTACAGTAAAATTAAGTTGCAGTAACAGTAAACAGAGGTTTGACCTTTCCTGGATTTGTTTTGAAAACCCGGGATATGTTACATCATGTCCTGAAACAAAAACTTGAATTTCTTCCTTTTTAAATAAAAATTTGCAGTTGTTCAACTGAGTGGGTCGCTGCATTTCAGTTCGCTATTTGGAGTAGGGAGATTCTTGTTCGTTCCTTATAAAAAAACTGTGACATTTAACCGAACCATCTAGAACACTGCACATCTGCGCCGTGGAGGACATGCCGCAATTTACTGGACTTGGAGATGTAAGTTGCGCACTCCGGTTTACAGCGCCGTTCTAACAGCTGTAACATTATACTGGGACCAACGTCAGGAATTTCGGCGGGGCAGCTGCTAGTTGCCGGCTGTCTGGCGCATCAAACTAGCCGGTTGGCTATGATACCGTATAATCCGTTTAGAAGGATGTATCACGTATCCAGAATATGATCTTTTCCGCTGTCTTCGACTAATGACCAGGGATCGTCTGCCTCTGTAGCGCTGCACAGACGAGTGCTGATTTGGGATGATCAGCTACCGGAAGCAAAAATGGGACCGGGAGAATCGCGCGAGTCCATTCGCAGAAGGCGATACACGATACACTTCACTGAAATGCCATTAGCTGTAATACAATGCAAGTCTGCAGCTAACGCTTCAAAACAAACAAATGAGGTCACGATGTCTTTTGTTATTGCATGTATTCGCCGAGAATCCGAAAATGAAGACCTAGCAATTTCATAATCCGTACATGCATTTTATTCACAGCCTTCACATCATGATATGCTAGAGCCTAGCTGCACTTGTCGTCCCGATTGTGGACTGTTCTGACAAGTCACCGGGTTATTAAACCACGGCGACGGCATCAAGTTTCAGTTTCTGTCATTTTGTGAGGCATTTTTTATTCTTTGTTGCATCCAGTTTCATCCAACTGATTTTGGTTAGTCTTTATTCTTTAACTATGTGAGCAGTGGCGTGTACTACGTACACCTGTATCCGGTTGCATGTACGGATTCCTCTGTCTGTGCTTGTGTCTCACTGGCCTTTGTTCTCGGCTTTAGAGCCGTTCATGTCTGTTCTCTTCATCTCGCCACATGCGAGCATGCGGATAATAAGTGGGCACCAGAATGCAGCTCGCCGAACGCATCGTCATTCAATAAAGTTTGCAGTTGCTGGTCGGGCATTAGAATTTTCCTTCTTCGCTCGCAATACTTACAGCATTGCTCACTCAGCAGGATCACTTCCGTTGTGGTCTCTTCATCTGGATCTGCTTTAGATCTAGCGTCATAACACTAAGGCAGAATGGAAACCCATGAGGAGGTGGCGAACCCCGGCAGCCGCTGCTTTGTTCCCGGCGACGTTATAATGTCCTGTGATCCTTTGGTGTGGGCCCTGGAGCGCGACGCCTACAAAACCCACTGTGCTTTCTGCCTTCATGACAGCGAGGAACTGCGCAAGTGTTCGGGGTGTCGGTTGCACCGCTACTGTGACACTACTTGCCAGGTGAGAAAAGAAACGGAACGATGTAAAGTTAAACTGGGTTTACAAAATGTAATTCGGGTCGTATGCCTAACAATCACGAAGATAAAAAATAAGGGTCGGAGCTGTGAACGCGGAAATGGGATTTTTGGCAAGTAGAATTACTCTGAATAACTTTAGTGCCAACTATAGCCAACTAGCCAAGTGAGATCCTCGCCCTCTAAGTCATCCTTGACCGTTTGGGAAATTAAATCTGTTATGAACTGCCACACACGGTGCAGAAACGAGTAACATTCGGATGCAGAAGAATCTCAGCCACAAAAAAAAAGTTTTTTACAGTATTCTTAGCTCTGGTGTTTTCACCTTCCGATCACCGGATGTGTATGGAAGTATAATTATTGTGCTGGGTGATTTAATGCAGGCCGCTGACTGGAAACTGGAGCATAAACAAGAATGCGCCGTGCTGAAGCAGATTAGTGGTATAAAAACCAAGGATATGGACCACACGGTTAGCAAGTTGATAGGCGGCCTTCTGACTGATTTATCATCGCTCGGCCTCCCCGCGTCTATCGTGGCCATCAGTGACATGATCGTCAAGCTGGACTGTAAAATTAAGGTGAGTCCAGTCAAACTAGGAATGTGCAATCTGCAAACGTCACACTAGGATTTCTTTACTGTTTTGCGAGTGTGTTATTGATCTCGCACGCATTTTGCAGATAAAAGCATATTAGGGTTGCTCTGTACGAAGTACCTAAATTTAAAGCCCTTATGATAGAAGTGAGCGCAAGCCCGCCCGAAAACAAGAGCTTAAAAGTATTTTAAACGGGGAGAATTTTACGAGACTTCTACAGATACAATACGTACTCTGTACATGCATAGCACTGTATTTAACTGAGACGTGCAGATGTCCCTGCTTATACAGATATTCCACGTACACGCTTTGGCTCTTGTTTCCGGACGGGGTGTACTTAATTGTAGGAATGCAACTGGTAAGTATACCGTACTGAGTTTTCTGCACTCCCATAAATTTGCTCATTTCCCATTACAAGTATACCAAATTTATGGATCAACTTGCAAGTGTCGCTACAGTGCGGTCGCCCTGAATCCGCTCCTGACCTGTGGTGAACTTCAGTACTGTTGCTACCTTTAGCCACAGGTCATGAAGTCATAATGCATATATTTGGGAAATCTGGCAGTCCCTTAAGTTGTTAACGTTCTTATTAAACTTCCTCCTACAGATATAGGAAGGAAATCCATTCGCTATTGTTGTGATGCTTACTCGGTTGCTCGCAGTAATTGCAATTTGTGTTTTTCAGTTGAACACGATGATTGACATGCCCGGAATGGGTTCCCAGTCGGCCAAAGATCTTCTGCTCATGCTGCCGGCAAATCCCGAGCAATCGGAACTCAATCGCATGATGCAGTCGCAGTAAGCCAGTTGCCGTGATTTGTCTGCAAATTCCTGCTGAGTTGTGTGCAAATCTTGTTCAATCTGTCCACAGAAAATCAACCATGCAAGCTGAAAATTCCTCCTATACTACGGAATCCTGAGTTATAATGCATGGCCCATTTACGGTGCGCTGGACGGCGCCGCCGAACCTCCGATCGGTTTGGCGTTGTATCCTCAAGTGCCGCGGCATAGCATGAAGAATGTGTGCTGGGATGCCAGTGTGGTGCTTAACCGTCGCGGACGACGATTGTTCATACATGCCGTGGAATCCATCCCGCAATATACCGGAATAAAGGATGTAAGTTTTAACACCCTACACCTACTACTACTATCTAATTTGTACCAATGTATTCCATTTATTTTACATACTGTAACGTTTCTACAAAGTAGCGCCGAATTACGGTCAGAGTAGAAATTTGTACTGTTTGCAGTTGCGGCACAGTGAACTCCTGGAACCATCCCGCCAAACAAGAGCGGAACGCCGCAGTGCATTTGAGAAGCTTCACGGATATAAGTGTACTTGCCGCAAATGCACGGAAGAATATGTGCGTACGAATTGTTAACCCCTCGAGCAGTAATAATTAACTGCACGGTATTCCGCATCTGTGATCTTTTTTAGGATGCTGACATTAATCCACTACGATGTGTCACAGTGGGATGCACCAACCGCATTCCAAGCGACCGCCGTGCACTGGCACCCTGCTCCGAATGCGGCGCACTAAACAGTGGTCGCCTGACGCAGTACCACCGATTTGTGGAGCAGTACGAAAGCTTCAAGTTTCGTCATCCGGAGGATCTTGACAAGATGATGGGCTTGGTCACGAATCTCGGCCTAGAACTGGAGAGTGCCGGCATCCTGCAGCCGGATGCGCATTTCCGATATCTCTGCTGCTGGCGGGTGCCGCAACAGTACTTTGATGAAAACCGCGTAGAAGATGGCTGGAAGATGATGGAAGAGCAGACGGTCTGTGTGCGGTAAGTTTTTCGACTCTAGTTCTCCAGTAATTTGTACGACCGTAATTGCCAAACAACCTACTCTGTAGTTAGTACATGATTTAAATTACGTTTAGAAAGATGTATCCGGAATATGACCTTTTCCGCGCTCTTCAGCTGATGGGCCAGGCAATATCTCTCAGTTTGGTGTTGCATCAGCAAATGTTGAACGGTACTGCACATCTGTCCCAAACAAAAAAGGAATCTGAATCATCGGCTGCTCAGATGATTAACAGTGTGTTTAAGTACAGCGAGGAAGCCAAGAATATCTTAATTGTCCTGTTTGGTAAAGCGTCTAAAGAAGCTGAGAAAGCCAACGATGTGCTGGCGCGATTGGCTGGGAAATTTGGTTCCAATCGAGCAGGCTGTTCGGGGCACTGAATCAGCAGCCAAGGAATGATTATTTTCGGGAGTTCGAATGGTTTTGATGTTGTAATGGTTGTAATGGAATTCAACGTAAACCTGATTTTCTGTTTTATATGGCAACTGGGAAGAAATTCATTTATTTCCAAACTGGTAATTAACACCAGTGTTTTTCACTTCTCCGTCACGGAGATTTAATCACCAACGTGACTCCGTTAGTCAGTTAATTCAGTTTTTGTTAGGAAATGACCAGAAAGAGATGACGTGGCGGTATGTGCTGAAAGCAAAAAAATGAAATGACTTCAACCGACACGTTTCGAAAAGCCGAACTAACGTTCTTACTGTATGAAATATTAATTATCCATATTGTGGAACGTTGTTTCGAAAACTTGATTTTTATCGTACGCATGTCGCCGGTGCGTGTTCGGTTCACACTCCCGGTTGTGCAAAATTCTCTAGATTTTTTATTCTGAAAGATTCTTAATTGGTGGGAGATTGCGC